AAAAATATTATTTAAATTTAAATTTAGATTTTTAACGAATCAGATTATGAAATTTTATATCAAATCCATTTATTTTGAATTATAAATATTTATAATTATATTTGAACTATCGAATATTTAAATCAGATTCGAATCCTAACATTCAGATTTAATTCATATCAGATATGGGCTAAAATTTAATTTATTGACAGCCTTACAATGAGATTTAAATAATAAAATAAGATGCGAAAACCTCAAACACTAAAGAGATAAACTATACCTTGACCTAATAAGAACGAAAGTGATGGAAATTGTTAACAATTTTCTACATAATTGTTATTATAGATTTTTTCACGTGAATTATATTTTCACATACACGTTAAAATTTATTTCTCTCAATTTTAACTTTCAATATTAGTTTTATATAGCTTATAGAATAGAAAGTAATAGTAAATAGCTGTCCTAAGTTTTTGAAACTTGATTCGAAATTAGGAGTGATAATCAACCCTCCTATTGTATCAATGAAAAGATTGTACATATTGCAGCATAAAATATTTCAGACAATTACGGATAGTTTTCCATAAGCAGCAAGACTTCAATCTAATGATCATTTATTTTTACAAGGCAATCAATCACCATGTCAATCTCTTTTTTATTTATAAATGATTATTTGTTCGCATTTATTCTGTAGTGTTTAGACTTTCCAAGGATGAGTTTGAAGGAAGAATCTTAAACCTCAAATTTTCAAAAAGATAAAAGAAGCCAACGGCATCTAGTGGCAGGGGGAATAAAAGAAGATTTGAACTCAAACATCAAATCTTTGAGACGAACCAGCTACGGCATTTTGTAATTTTACATCGTGAAGGTGGCTCCCACAAGCAATAGTGATTGGTGAATACCAATGTTTTAACACCACAGAGCTCATTACACTGGTAAGATTATATATTTTGGATTTAAACAGTTTGATCGTTTATCAAATCAGTTGATAATAAAAAATATTTAAAAATAAATTAACAATTTAATTGTAATGACCCAATTATGTTAATCAATTTGGGTTCAGGGGCCTAAGTGCATTAATTAAAGTTATGGGGTCAAATGGTAATTTTGGAGGGTTTAATTACATAAATTTAAAATCTAGGGGACTGGTTTGAGGAAATAGAAAAGATCAGGACCCAATAGGAATTATTAGGGGTTAGACTGAAGAAATTGGAAGTTTCTAGGACTCAATTAAAAATCAAGAGGATGAAATTGAAAGAAATAAAAGATTGAGGGATTGGATCAAAATCCAGATCTGATGGTCCAGTCTAATAGTGAACCCAACAGTAGATTGGCCATACCATGATGATTATAGCCGATCTTTGCTTAAAAATTGGTTTTCCTTGTGCGAGACAAGCTATTCTGCAATTGCCCTCAAGAAATTTTGAAGTTTAAAGTGAGATTTGAGTGAAATTGGAAGAGATCCAGCTAAACTGTCCTCAGTTCCGGTCCTGACGACTCCCACGGTTGCAACTAATCGGAGCCAACAACCCAACAATCCTTCAAAAATCAGATTTCTCCCCCTCGGCTCCCACTGAACCGGATGACCCAGAAAAAAATCTTAAAATCCCTCACCCACTCTCATTCAAGACTGAAATCAACTGAGGGTTTCGGTTGAGCCTTCAAATACGCACGCAAAGGCGTGAGGAATTGGTCAAAATCATCACACGGCATGGAGGATTTGGTGAAAAACCATCATTTGGCCACTGTTCATGCCAGATTTCTACAAATTGCAACTCGACCCCTAGACTTTGTGCCACTTACAAAAGGGTCCCTATGAAATTTACAGTTTGGCCCCCGAACATTTGAATTTTCGCAATTAAGTCCTTGAACTCAATAAAACTTAAAACTGGGTTGTTACATAAAAATGTCCTGAAATTTGAATTTTCAAAAGATTAGATTAGAGATGGATTTTAAATCTCTAATCAACATGATTAAAGGCAGGCATATAAAGGACTACATTTGCAGTCCCACCATAATCAGAATCAAGTATTTTCTTTGTAAAACTGGTAATTTGATATCAAGTGAATTTCTAGAGAAGTAAATAGTTGTGTTAATCAATCGGTCAAGTTGAATTTCTAGTAAGAGTTAGAGTTAAGGATTAAACTTTTTCTCTCAATGAATTGACAGATATCTGTTATATTGATATGTTGGAAGTTTATACTTTATGAGATACAACAATTAGTTTTTATTTTTTTATTTTTTTTTTGGACCTTGACCCATTTTATTACAAAAAAAAGAATTCAAATGTATTTCAAATTTCAACCTGAGCGTGAAAAAGAATTATATTATATTCTTTATATTATAATAATAACAGTACTAGTAATAATATATTTTGATTTATCTTTTTTTGGTACAAAGGGAAAATATGCTTCTTTTTTTTGTTTCAATTCCTAATTATAACATCTTGACTTTCTCATTTTTTAACCCTGCTTTTTGGAATTTGGAACATTAATCTCCTTCATGTCACAAGGACCGACACCAACAAGCTTCGCCGAAGACAACGCGGGCAGAAAGAGTCCGCCGCGTTTTAAAACTTTTGTGGAACTGGGTCAGTTGCGTGGTTAATATTGATTGATATTTCTAACGAGGAGATTAACGTCGACAAACCTTGAACAAGTCAAGCCTATGTAATTAGTCCAGATGATTCCGATCTTGACCCCGTCGTTGCTTTTACAGATAGGAAACTTCAAAGCTGATAAATTATTGACGTCACCCATCTTGCAAACTTACGAACAAATGAATTGTTTATAACTTTGCAACATCTGGAGAGGATGTTAATCGCTAAGAATTTGGTCCGCAGTGAAACTTGTTTTGTTTTGTTTTGTTTTCTAGCTTTGAAGCAACGACGGGTCAAAACTTCAATCCTATTTGACTTGTATGCATAAGGCGCGTAAAGATATGTCAAGGATATCTCCGAACTGGAGTGATCTGAACCCAAGAAATTCGAAGAGGAGGATGGGAAGAAGTCTATATATATGCACGTATGCATACAATTGGCAGCTTCAAGAGATTATATCACTGGAGAGACTTCTGTATAAGGTTGTTTGTTGCTGAGGTAACTGCAGAGAAAAACATTAGTACGCCACCATGGAAATTGCATTGGTGTTCATCTTGATTTTTGGCATAATATTTGTTGTCGCCGTGTGCCTTAGAATCATCTTTATTTGCATTGGAGGCGGTGGATTTTCTGGAGGTTCTGGCAACGGCGGTGGCGGTGGCGGTGGAGGAGTTGGTCATGGCCTCCACCACCACCACCACCACAACCACAACCATATTGACCATGTTGGACAAACAATCTCGATAATGTCAGCAGGCGGAGGTGGTGGAGGAGGCGGAGTCGGTGGTGGCGCGTGCTAATTTTGCCGACCCCTCTTTTTGTTCAAAAAATTTGTTTATACATAAGCTTGACAGCTATTTCATTAATTACTATGTTATCTTCATTTAGGGCTCTGTAAAGAAATCATGAAATTATAAATGAAAAGACATTTTTCTTCCACTCACTATGATTCTGCTTATTTTTTCAAGTATTTGCTTTGACTTTGTATGAGTTGATTTATACAAAACCGCAAAAAATATGGATTTACCATTGTTTCATTTCATTGGTTTTGAAGTAAAATAAAATAAAAAGAAAAGCAGTATTGTATTGGCATGAATTTTTTCTCTTGAACAAGTCCCGCGTGGATATGGCCCCTGCCAACATGGGCATGCGGTTTACAAGGACCAACTAAATAACTAATTCAAATTATACCATGCATGCTTGAAATCTGAACAGTCACAAATCTTACATTAAATAGGATGAATGAAAAATGTTAAGTTATAAGAGAGGACACTGTATATTTTGATAAGTATATCTTTTGAAAGGAGGATAATTATCCTGTAACAAGTAATATTAGAATCAATTCTAAAAGATTAGTTCAATGGTATTGTGACTCACGCACAAGTGTATTCAATGCTCCTATAAAGGTATACAAGGTGATGGGAGATCATGAACTTTATTTTAACAAAAGCGTCAAAAATTAAAATGGAAAGGAGTATGATAAATATCACGTCAATTAGAGTTAAATATAGATATTGAGTTATATAAAGAGACAATATATATTTTAATAAGTACATTTTAAAAAAAAAGAATAATTAACTCGTAATAGAATCTTGGATCAAATTAGTGCTCAGAGCTTGCATGTTAACAGAAGTGCAGGCAAAAACACGTTTGCAACCGCGAAAGGACCACGTTACCATGGAAGGAACACAACCGAACAAAGAAACTAAACCCAAGGCAGCCCAACATAGGGTACATAACCAAGAAAAGAAGTTAATATAGTCCAGCCGTGCCCGTGAGCAGGCACATTGGTCTATGCATTATCATCGGCAGAAAGACTTGTAGAGGGGGAATAGGTGCCGAGGTTGGTGGCGGAGGTGCAGAGGAATCTCGTGCAGGCATATTTTGGTGCAAGTTAGGACAGAAGTAGGCGGGGAGGGAGGTTGGGGAAGGGTGTGAGGAGCTGGAGGCGTTCTGATTTTGGTAAATTTTTATCTTCTCTTTAGGTTTGCTTACTCAAATTTTTAATGATTACACGGTAATTGTACAAGTAACATGTGCTCATCCACCCGTAACGACTCTGGCATTTTGTTGTTGGCATATTTAATTTCTGAATTCTTTTGGAGCAGGATTGGATTCCGTTCCAAACAAATTGAATAATTTAATAAATGGTCAATGCAAATTCTGACTTCTTCCTTAACTCCAGTTCAGGTGAAACACATGCTCGGTAAAGCCATTACCACCATTGAGTAATTCATAAATTGAGTCAGCCGAAAAGCAAATATGAAAGATCAAACACTGGTGCGAAGGGGAAAAAGGAAGATAGAAATGGAGAACAAGGAAGATACAAAGAGTAAAAAGATTAAGATCCTGTAGTACCAAAATGTCAAAAAAGGTCAATAATGAGGGGAGGAGAATTTGCGTAGGCAAAACAATTTGGAAGCTTTTATGTGCCAAAGCTACGGTCTCCTGCATCTCCCAGTCCAGGGATTATAAACCTGAAAGTAGCCCAAATAATATCAGGTTAAAATATTAACACACCCTCGTGAAAATAAATGATCCTTTTTTACCAAAACCATGGAAAATGTTTACCCTTTATCGTTAACAGTTGGGTCAATAATTCCAGAATATACATGAAGCCTGAAAATCAAAGAGCAGCAAAAACAAAGCTGATAATTTGCTCTCAAACTGTCTTCAACGGAGAAGTTCAATTCAGAAAGGCATTACCCTGGAAACTTCTCACTCAGCTTCTGAAGGGCCGGAGGAGCAGCCACAGCAGACACCTGTCACATGGCAGTTCATAATGTGCAAAGTTTGTGTTAAGGGGACTCATTATCAAAAGTTCAGTTTGAACTCAGATACATTTTCTAGTAATATAAATGATAGAAATGCTTTCCATAAATTTAACCGTGGCAGAATAAGAGATGCATATCAGTTTATTTACCACTTTAATTTGCTTATTGTCCACTCCATGCTCCTTTATCAAGTCAATAGCCGCAACTATTGTACCACCTATCCAAAATTGGTAAAGAAAAAGATGGTAATTATAAATTTTACACGTAATCAAGTCTGCTTCAGAAATATTCAACTCATGTAAAGTCTAATATAGTGAATCTAGACAAGATTCAGACATTTGTATACATCCACAATACAGAACAGAAAGCAAGATCGATTCACATTCAAATGAGGGGGGATGAGAGAGAGGATGGGCTTAAGCCTCAACAAGAATACCTGTTGCAAGCATGGGATCTACTACAAACACACGAGATCCTTCAGGAAATTTTTCCGGTAGCCTGCAAAGCTTGATATAAAAAATTAGAAGCTATATTATCTAACATGATCTTGCCAGGCAGGAGCAGCACTAAATCTGTGATCTAGCCTCTATTCTAATTTACTTAGATTCCAACTAGAATAACTTACAGCCTGCCAAAACTGTCTAGAATATTCACTTCTTGTGTGACCCATTGAATTTAGAGGAATATGGCAGCTTAACACTGCTGACCATAAGAAACTAAAGAATAAGATAAAACTGTTTACTGCTAAAAACTGTTATTTATTCTTTTTCCTTTTCTAATAAGAAATGGTTGTTAATGACCGAAATGTTTTTACAAATTTGGACATCAAAACATATCTGCATGTTCAGAACAGCAAAACAGATATAAAATCAGCAACCCATGGCAAAAGAGCATTATTTGAATTATCAAAAGGATGCCTTACATGTCAAAAGATGACAAATTAAATGATCCAACCTATTTCTTGAGCCAATAGAAACCTAAAGTGGCAAATGCAAAAAGAATAAGGCAATATGATCTCTAGGAGCAACACGTAGTGAAAAGTAAAGAGAACACAAAATATTCTACAATGGAGAATTCTTACTTGTTCAAATACACTGTTGGCTGAAGTGTCTCCTCATCCCTGCTAATCCCTTGATTGGAGAAATATGAATTACAATTATTACTATAGATCTAGTCAAGTACCTCAAAATGAACTATACCTTATCAAATTAAGAAAAGCAATAACATAAATTAATTATAAGTAATGGATGTATTGACATGATTTACAAGCATAAAACACAACAATTATATCCTAGTCTGGTAAAAAGACTCCTGAAGAATGTAATTTGTGCTCATGATTCATATTTAGAACAAACGGACATGTATATACATTCAGCCTACTAACTTAATATCACACCTCCTCTAACTGTGTATATAAAACTCTTACCTAGATGGTATGTTTTTGTTGCTGGCAAAATTGACGATGCATGTTCTGCTAGAGCAAGACCAGCTCTCAGGATCGGAACAACCTGCAATGCTAAACAGATAGTGGATAAGGTGATGGCTGCAGTAATGCTCTAGTCAGCCAGGATCTAACGAGTCCAAAGGGACATCATACAAACAGGTAACTCGTAACATGATTACTATCAATAACTTTAAATAGTAGACAAATGGGTCAGGCTGGAAAAAGAATGTAACAAGTGTATTAAAGGAACATTCTACAATGATATATAATGCTAGATAGGGAAGCAATTCAGAGTATTGGTTGCAAAGGGATGAAATTTGGTAAAAAAATCAGAAAAAAAAAAGAAGAAAGATGTGCTAACCGCCACAGGTTCCCTTGGATCAATAAATTCTACAGAGGCAACACCCATTGGCGACTGAATCTCCCCTCTTATAGTAGGCTGCCAGAAGTAAAAATAAGACCAATCAATATATAAGCACAAAAACAAGGAAATGTTAAGAGCGAGAATAGTTTTCCATAAGCTATGATAAATGCTTAATATTGACCCTAGCAACCCCAGGCCCAACAACCTTTTAGGCACAACTCAGTCCTAAGTCCATGTTATCCAACAAAATTATTCAACTTTTATAAGCAAACAGAGTAACATACACCCTACCCAACATGGAACAGGCCACAATTTCCCCTGTTCAAATCCTTGACATTCTAGTGTAGGCCGGTTAAATCATCCCTACACAATTTAAGTTTACCAAAGCCTAAGCACATTATTCAATGGTAACTATCCATGGTGCCCTACCCTTACTTGACCATGGAACAACAGCGATGCATATGTGGTCCCAGCATGGCATTGAGCCATGCATTACAGAAAAAAACTGACTGGTACCATTTAGAATGGACTGAGTAATCCTGCATCATTAGCAAATTGGAGCATCTCATGCTTCAAAATGTTTAGTAGGTATCTCTGTATTATTCAAAAGTGGTCTACTTAAACTTGCATCAGATAATGATGATCTACTGAAGCACCTAACGTGATTGTTACAGCTTTAGTAAAACAGGATCTAATATAGCCACTTGAAGGAGCTGTAATGGTACTAAGGGCATCTGGCTTTACTTATTTAACACTGCTCAAAGTAGAAGACTGCTTAAAACTACTAAAAGTACCTAAACACTAATTTGATAGATATAAGTAATTACCTATTTGATAGAATACTAGCTAAAAAAAAAGTTAAGTAGCAAATGCACTTTAAGTAGTAATAAGCAGGATGAGACAAGTAGGGTAAGTCTACTTTTTCTTTTCTGCTTATTTCCTGCCTTCCGTCATTTTTTTTTTTATCAGACACTTATTTTAGTAGTGGGTTGATTTAAGCAGCAAATAAGTGGATTTCAAGCTAAGCCAAAACAAACCAATTTTACAACATGATGCAGAATGGAGAAGATCCACTAAGTACTAGGGCCAATATAGAGTTTTTTTTCTTTTTATCTCTTTTTCATTTTTGACTGCTAGCATGCCACTACCATTACATGTGCTGATAGTCCAACATCCTCCACCGCTCTTCAGTGTTAACAAAGATGATGTCAGTATAAGCAATTATTATTTTTTTTTTCCAGAAGAACCGAATAAAAGCTGTATTTCTTCATGTTTACATATCCAGGATCCAATAAGTCGACTAGGTAAGTATTAATTTCTATTTTATCTATGGCCACTATGGCATCCAATTTGAGTCTTTAAAAGAGATATGTCAAGTTTATATGTCCTCTTTTCAAATCATAGTCTTCTGACTCTCCTTTTATAATTAATTTGCTTGCATCTATCACGTGGATACCATTAGAACATAAAACGGCATGCACAATGTAATAACTCACCAGCCAATCCCTTGATGCTTCATAAATCAGCAGTCTCCCCAACTCGGCCATGGCATTTTCTGTAATAGTTATTATTGCACAAAACTTTAACATATGAGTAAGTGAAAATAAATAAAATTTACAAAGAGTGGATGAAAAATAAATATTTTCCAGTAAACAACAAATTAATACAACCTTAAGACAGCGCATGAAAGCAGATCAAATAACATATATAGCATTACAAGAGTTTTCGTTTCATGAACATAATATTTAAAGAAAAGGTCTCATGCTCAGATCAGGCCTTTAAGATGAATAGTTTTTTCTTAACAGCAAGGGGATAAACACTGAGAGCTCAGTGTGCATTCTAACCAAATGTCAAAACAAACCTAAGTCAGCTTTACATGGACGCTTTTGATTATTCTGTGGTTTGATTTCAAGTAAATTGATTCAGGTCCAAGGCATATTGCCGCTCAATTCAGTTTTTTCTTTGTCGCAAATAGCAATATTATAACAGGACCATACAAGTAATTCACTCACTTATGAAAATTGGGTAAAGCCATAACTCAGCTCATTTTCATTGTCAAGCCAAAAGACAGGAGCAATTTACAAGTAGACAAAGAAGAAAAAACGCCCCTTTTCCACCAGGAGGATTGCTCTTCTCTGGGACATTCGAACCAAATTTGCAGCCAAATCAAAAATTGAAAAATGTCACATCCCTACTTTATTTCTGATTTATTGAGAAGATTAATTCACGTGCCATTTCTCAGAATCCACCAAACAGTAACTCAACTAGCAGCAGGGATTTATAAATAAAAAAGAAAAACGCTTGTATAATTACAGTCTAGCTGAAGCTTGAACTGCCACTCACTAAAGATGGGGCAAGGAGTCTGCTCATTTCTAAGAACTGAAACCCAGTGCTTGATCAGCGGATGCGGAGGAACGAACACCTGAAAGTCAACAAATGAATCAGTTGGCAAATCAGAGAATGCTCTGATTGGCTCCTGGGAAACTATCCAAAAGCATTAAGATCAACAAAAAAATCCAACTTTTCCGGCATTTTCTAAAGAACCAATAGGAAAGTTTGAGACGTAAGAGATATGCTGCACTGACCAGCATTCTGTTATCCGATATCGGTTTCTCTTGCATCGTCGTTTGGGACTTCACGGCCACATGGCTACGGTGTCGAGTGATAGAAGAAGAAATCTATATTAAATTAGCAAAAAGCGATGAGTTTTCGTTTTTTAAAAAGAACTCTAGGGTTTTGGCTCTTGTGAAGAGTGTTCAAATGCAAATGGACAAAGCATAATTGATGCACTACCTTGTTGGGATGGAGAGAAGAAGGAAGGAGATTGTGTGTGGTAAGGCTTTGTGGGTACTCTATGGACAACAGACGCGGCGCATGGGCCGGCCACCGGAAGGGCGTGTTGAGGCGATTCGCCATTTTGGTCCCGATGAGCTTTAATAAATGGAAAAACGGAGGGGAGATAGCGGCTTGAATGCAGAATCTCCGGTTTGACTGAAAAGGAGGTCGGATGGGTTTCGGTAGGCGCTCCCTCACCTGAGCGACGCCTGAGGTGTACAGGTGGCCTAATCGCAAAATAATATTTATCGACCCACTAATTAAAAAATGTGGTTGCACAGTGTAATGATGGTGTAAGATTTTGGCCGCTCATCCAATCAACTGTAGGTAAACAAAAAATCAAGAAATCGTTACTCATCGAAAGATTCTCCGTCCTAATCGAACTGGTGCTCGGATGTCTGATTTTGTTGTATCGGCAGATCGTGCGGATATTTTAACAATTAAACTGTTAGTTATTTAAGTATAATATAGTATTAATATGAAAACTTTGTTTCTGTGTGATTTAGGGTGAATTTGAGTCCTTAAAATAGTTTAATATTGAAATGAAAACTTTGTTTCAGTGAAGTTTAATGTGAATATGAGTCCTTCGAATTTATTAAATTGATTTTCTCTCGTATATGATAATAACTAATATTGATGAACTTTTTAATAGTCCTAATTTGTTATAATTTTTACATTTTATAAAAAATAAATATTTATATGAATTTTTTTGTTAAGTCAAAATCAATTACAACAGGACATTTATTGTTTGGAACGAGTCTCTTCAACTTCTCATCCGTTATTATTAGTTAATATAGTTAAAATTATTTTTTATTTCTTTCTTATCCTTTGTACTAAAAAAAAAACATTATAAAAACTTTTTTGGATACATTTATTTTTTTGATTTTGATGGAACCAAGTAAATATGAGGAGATAATTTTAAAATGATAATTATTTTTTTTGAAAAAGAATAATAATTTTAATTATAAGACGTTGCTAAATAGAATAATCTTTCATAACTTCCGATATTCATCAGTTATTTTCAGTTACCAATGCATGGGAGTGACATATTTTATCAACGTATTTAATTATTATTTTGTCGTTGATGTGTTACAATCTTATAATCGTACGTGACACCTATAATATTGTTCTGTCGCATGCACGCGAAAATTAAGATTATTTTTTACCTTGTTTTGAAATGGACATCTTAGTTTTGTCTTTTTAAAAAATATAATTGAATTAGTTTTTTAAACTATTTTTATTAGAAATGATAATGGATTGTATTTTAATTTGACTTTAATTTAAATTTTAAGAATATAAATTTAATTAAAATATTTAATGAATTAACTTTAATTATAAATATTTATAATGTAAAAAATAAATTTATTTATTAAATAATAAAAATAAAAAGAAAAAAGAAAGCACACTAATGGAAAAAGACTCGACGAAGAAGATGGCTATTTGTAAGGAAATACTAGGGGTATTCAAAACTGAATTGAACCCATTGGACCGAATCAACCCAAACCAAATCAATCAAAAACTGAACAAAATCGAAAGAAATCGGTTTAATTCAGTTTTAAAGAGTCTTGAACCGATCAGTTCGATTCTATTTTTGGTTTTGTCCTAAAATAAAATCGAACCGAACTTATTATATTTATTAATATATATTATAAATATATTATATATATATATTTATATGTATATATTATATTATATCTATTTATATTGTATTATATATTTATATTTATATTGAATTTTTTACAAAATAAAACAATTGTAAAATCAAACATGTTTACCGAACCAAACTAACTCAAGTTGATTTGGTTTAGTTTAATTTTTTGACAAGTATAAAATTAATTATATTTAATATAATTTAGAACTGACATGTTCGATTCAATTTAAAAAAAATATAAAATCAAACCAAATCCAATCAAACCTGTGAACACCCTGAGAAATACATCATCGTTGTCCACCGCAATGTCTCTAGCCCTCGAACTTCTGACTATTTTTTGGTGGGAAGCTCTGTTTCCCTCACGCGCAGCGCTCTAACTACTTATAATCACCTCGTAATTCAGGGTCTCATGGCACGCACACGCGCACGCGCACGCGCAGAGAGAAAGAGAGAGATGTTAAATCTTTATAGATAGTACTTGTTAAAAAATAGAAGCTCTTATCTAATTTGTGAAAGTTAATTGAAGTTGAGACGACAGAGGATGCATCCAAGACGAACTCAGGAACGACAACTTTAAAGAGGATGATTGTGTGACTCGAATAAGATAAATAATAAGAAGGTTTAGGTACGAATTCTGATTAAATATGTTTGAATTATAATTACATCAAGATAATCGTGAGATAATATGATATTGTTCACCTTACAACTCATTATTTACGTGTTTATGACTTGATTGATTTATAGATTTATTGTGTCAATCTGACAAACATTCTTAAGGAAAAGGAAAAGGAAAAGAAACAGAAAAAGAAAAAAACACGTTGTGGGTAATCAAGCAAAAGTGCCTTGAGAAGTACGGATATTTTAAAATGGGAATCAAACTTTGACTCAGTAGACTACACTTAATCAAATAAAACTTTATTTCGGGTTATGATGCGGTAAGATTGCGTGGGCAATCAAAAAAATACTCGAAATGTAGAAGTGTGGTAGGAATTAGTATTAATGCTGGCATCTTGACAAGTGGTTTAGAAATTCTTGTATAAACTCGTATTTCATCAATCAAAGAAAACTTAGATTTTTTTTTTCTTTTTTTGGTGTTGGTACAAAAAGGAGAAGAACAAAAACCAACGGATGAAAAGAACACCTACTGCATTAACTAGTAGTGTAGGGCCAAGACATGAAAGAGGATCATTCCAAGTAACAAAATTATCATTATATGCAATCCCAAATTTATTAATACAATCCATACAAGGATTTTATTTTTGTAGAATATGAGATATTGTAATAAACTAGACTTGATGAGTTAGTTTAATAATATCGATAATAATTACTATATATAAGCAAAACTTTAATGTAGTTCTGTTCATGATTCGGACCATAAATTGACTCCGCTTGAAGCGGATCGTGAAAAAATAGGACCGGACCTTACCATCTAATTTTGGTCTGATCTAGTTTGGTTTTAAATCAAGAACTTTCATGATTCGATTAAATTCTTGATTTATGAAACTTGAATCAGAATCGAAACCGTACTTGAACTAGCAAATTGGAATCCAAATTGAACCATGAGGGTTCGATTAAATTCTTGATTTATGAAACTTGAATCAAAATCGAAACTGTACTTGAACTAGCGAATTGGAATCCAAATTGAACCATGAGGGTTAGACTAGGAACTGAGTTGTGAACCTGAACTATAAGGATTGAATTGTGAATCAAACTATGAAAATTTGGTTTTTCATTTTTATTTTAGATAAAAAAAGATTTTCACTTAATTTTTAGATATAAATTCATACAATTTATTTATTAGATATAAAAAAATCCTTATTTTTAGGTATAAAATTTATTTTAAATGCATTAACTAACAAAAAATATAAAATTTATATTTTTAAATATTATCAATTTAAATATCAATACGCTGAATAAATCAAAATCTCTTGCATTACACATTCAAATATAAGAAAAATATATAAAAAATGAAAAAATCACTTAACATATGAAAAATATAGTAATAATATTTAAGCAAAACATGAGTGATTCAAATATAGTTTATATTTTATACAAAATTAAATTTTGGTTTGTTTTTCCATTACATTTATTGTAAAAAAAAATTAAAAAACAAAAATAGGACAATCTTTTAACATAATGTTATTGTTATTATTTTATTTTCAATGGCTCAAAAATATTTATAAATTAATATTTAAATTTTTTTTGGTTAAATCAAACCAGAACCTTGAACCAAACTTGAATTATAAAAGCCCAGAACTGAAACTGAACCGGCTATCACATCCTACCCTTGATTAATCGAGTGAGACATGACAGTGGAGTAGTATTCAACACCCTCTGGTTGCTAGGATTCACAAAAGAATGTTGAACACTATAACCTCTATCTCGTCTAGCTTAAGCTAAATTAAATCAAAAATATTGTCAATAATATATTTAACATAATCACATCTAATAAACAAAGTTTACATCAAAGAACTATAAATTCTCAAACTTCTACCACTGCTAAGACCTACTCCACAAACTTTGTTTAATATAAACATTCTCATATCAAAATCAAACCTCATCTCAAAACATGTGACTGACATGCTAGCCCAACCTTTATCTAGTATGATCTAAATGCTTTGATACTGGTGATGATATGCTGTGAGATATTAGTTAATCCTATTTTGCACTTGCATGGTAAGAATGGGATGATACATAAATATAACATATTTGGTTTGTTTAAGCAACTAAAAATTGTAAAATCACAAAACATAATATTGGAATAGTTTAACTGACCATATCCTAGCATCAAATCCATGCTAAGGCAATAAATAGAAAACATTGTAAAGAATCAAAAAAGTCATCTATATAACATACGTATATGTATATATAACTCTAACATAGTATGTACAACAAACAAATCCATTGTACCGAAAGACATAGAAAACTCTGGCCTTTGGTAAGGCAAAATTTGTCGAGTGCTACTATGCCATGTAGTTTGTACTATAGTTCACCACTTTATGGTCAAACTAACATAATCTCGATGTTTGAGATTCCATTAGGTCCAAAGTCATATAGAATTATCACTACTCATGTGGCTATCCCACGTCTCAAGATTTGAGGATTAAAACACAGTAAAACATATACAAGTATGGCCCTCAAAATTGGATTGAACTAATCCAATAAACCATACAATCAGTATGAAACCCCTAGAATCGAACTAAAGTGGCCTTTTTAGCCCTTGGATTGGTTTGAACTGACCGAATCTGGCTTAAATGAACTGGACTAGTTAGACCTGATTTGGCGCTGAACCAACATAGACACGAGTAGAATTTGGGTTTTGTCTTCTTCACCTAAAAACTTGGGAATTGACCTAGTTCTCTGTAATCAATTTGATTCGCCTAGAAATCCAAAAAATTAACCAAAATCCTTGATTCCCAATGCTAGTCGATGACCTTAGAAGACAAATCCACTCAAATAAAGCCAAAATAGGGAGTTATTAAGCTTATTAATGGCAGAAAACCTAAGGGGTGATTGATCTGACATGGTCAGACTTTTAGTTGGCCAATAACAAAAAAATTGAAAGGCTTAAGATACAATTAGGGACAATTACAATTACAGAATTGAGGAAAAGATGTGCATAAACAATTCTAAAGGATTAATTGTAACTCAAACTCATTGAAAATGACAAAATTCCAGCAAAATCGACATAGTTTTTTCACAGAAAA